AATGAATCTTGTCAGTGAATAATTAGCTGATTGCCTTGGTGAAAGCCTGAGGCACTGCTGCAGAAATTGGTTCGAGGTTCTGTACCTGCCTTCGCTGTGGCAGCTCAGGTCAGGGAGGAGCCCAGACTGACCTGAGGAAGGAGCAGCGGCCCTACAGGGATGGACCTCCTGGATAGATGAACGCGGGCTGGGAATTGGGGCAGAGAGGAGCACTGTCCCTGGGGAATCCATGGCCAGGGAACGTTAGGAAACTATTAAACATGACCAGCAAACTTTGGAAGCTGAGCCGTTTGTCCAGTTATTGGAACATTTCCAATTTGTGCTGCAAAATTTATTCTGTCAAACCCGTTCCTCACAAGAAGGATGCATTTCTTTGCCTGGCTGAGCATTTGCAGATGAAAGCTTTTCAAAACAAGATGTGACCTGGCCTAGCAGGGGACACTGATGTGGCTGGCAGCATGCTGGGCTCAGGTGAGGAAGGGCCTTGCAGACTTTGTCACCCTCAAGCTGTTAAATTTGAGTGCATGGAAGACAACACATTTGATATGAGCAACAATCTCAAATCTGCTGCTGAGCCTCAAGCAATAGTACTGGTCAAGTAAAGCATAGGGATAATTTAAACACCTGAAGGTCTAAATGTCTAAACTTCGAGAAGAATGAAAAAGGAGAAATGAAAATTGGAAAACATATAAATTTACCTCTTAAATTTACCATTTACCTCTTAAATTACCATTAAAATGGAGAAATCATTGAGAATTAAACAAGGAGAAGGCCAATATGGTATTAAATTGTGTCATTAGGCTTATTCAGTCCCTTCAGAAGTACAGGAGCGAAATGATGAGCAGTGCATCAGCAAAACAGAATCAGCACACGGAAACCAATTTTTTATTGTTGATTTTTTAATCAACTAAAATATTCTTTTTTTACCTCCTGAAGTTGTACAGTCAAATTCAGATGAGAATTAGGCTCTTTTGTACCACAATCAAGCATAAAACATGTCAAAGTCAGAAATCAAGCAAGGACTCAGGTCACAGGGATGTTCTTGTACAGTGGCCATAGGAAGGTTTTGGCAGTGCCCTTGACCAGAGCTGCTGTTACGCTTTCTCTTGGTCATTTTTTATAGGATGCATAAATCCAGTGCTGCTGACATTTAAGACTCATAATAGCAAACCTCCCCTGGAGACTCCAGCCCTGACAGAGATCTGGGCTTCAGGCTTGATGCCAGATGATGGAGCTCTGAGCCGTCTCTCTTTCCCAAGATTTCCTGTCTGGGCCAAGGGGCTGCTCTGCTTCTCCTCTCTCCTGTCCCAGCAAGGCTGGAGATGCAGTGCAGCATTGCTGGTCCTCAGTCAAGATGCCATAGGACCAGTGTGACGTGGTGCCTTGTGGCAGGCAGGGGTGAAGGTGCAGCAGAGGTATCAGAGGGGGAGCAGAGCACCACCAGGATGGAAATATGTGAGTTAGGAGGAGGATATTGCCAGGCAAAAAGGAAGGGTGTTTATTTATTGCTAAATAGTAACAGAAAGAGCCTTTCCACTTCCAGCCACATTCAGTCTTGTCCCTCTGCGTCCATCTCCTCCTCCTAAAGATTAAAGTCTGTGACAGCTCAGCCATGCTCTGCTCAGTGCATGCTGTGGGAAGGGGCAGCCTCGGCAGTCCCTGCTGTGCTAGTGCAGAGTGCAGGTGTCACAGCACTGACTTTGTGCATGTTTATGGCAGCAGAAGCCTGGTACTTGTGCTCTCTGTTGGTTGGGTTTAGCCCTGGAGAAGGAAGGCTCTGCCTTTTTACTCAGCGACTCCCTTGCCACTGGGAGGCAGGACACGCCTCTGGCTGCACTGTGTCACAGAAAGTATCCACACACCTGCTGTTGATTTTTCAAGGACAAAGTGTTGTGATTTGATGGGGAAAAAAATCATCTTACTAGTGTAGCAACGAGTCCTTTTTGGATTTTTTTTTTTTTCTCTCTAACCTCAGGGGAGCAAGACAGAAGATCTGGTAAGTGAGATGATTACAAAAACTATTCACTGATGGTGGTGGCTGAGCAGGTGCAGTTTTCTGCTGATGGCAGTTCTCACGCTGTACCTTCTCCACTCTCAGCACAGCCCTTCCCTTCTGCGGGGAGCTGCAGAGTATCAAGCAGTGGCAGCGTAAAGAGCTGAGCTCCCCACAGTTTTGGATGAAGCTGCTCCAGAAGGTTTCTGTGCTGTGTTCACAGGTTTTCTGCTGCAGTGCTGCTTGGTATGCGGTTCATACAGTCCACTGAGCACATGCACGAGCAGCCACGTGGAGATATTGCTGTGGGGTTCCTTGAGTCCAGCAGCTGCCAGGAACTCTGTCTTTGGTTATTCTTACCAGTGGAGAGCTTCAGTTATGACTGAGGGTGAATGCAATTTTACCCAGGTCCATGTCCTACCCAGCACGGCTTGCTGAAGCAGCTCAGGTGTGAGAAATTGGCCTTTCTGTTAAACTATTTAAAGCTGAGGTGTTTTATAGCAAAAAACACACAGCTATAGATGTTTGTAGTAGGCACAGGAAGGCACGCTGAACATACACCCAGCTAAAATCTGCAGCCTGTAAGTGTGCCACTGCCAAGAGGCACTGAGGACGTCTCCCACCTGTGGCATGTGCAGTGGCAGCACCTGGGAGCTGGCAGGGCAAGCACACATCTTGGACCCTACTGAACTTACAAAAACAAGGTTGCACTCACAGAGCTCTTTCTGCTTACAGGGAACACACCAATCAGCCCAGTGGCAAAGGTAGCTTTGCCAGGTTTCCACTGCCCAAAACTCCTGAGTCATCTGGCCCCCTGCCCATCCATCCCTGGGAGGAGTTACAGCAGGAGCAGCTGTATGAGGTTACAAGCCATTTCCTCAGAAGTTTCTGGTATATCAAAAGGTCTGTGCCTGCTCTGGTTCCAGAGGAGCAGCAGGCATGGGATCAGGGGAGCAGATGTCTTCAGCTACAGCAGGGGTAAGCTAATTGCTGGGTTGGCAAGTGTCCCCTGCCCAGCCAAACCCACCTGCTACAGGATCAGCAGCAATATTATAATTACACTTGGGTGCTGTCGCTGCTCCAGTACCTGATTTGCTTGCTGGAGAAATAGACCCATAATGGTCACTACGCATTGTCCCCAGCACGGGGACACCTACACTGTTACTGAAGCCTGGGTGAAGCCCTTTTCTGAGCCCAGCTTTGCCTACTTCTACCCATCTGTATATTGTTATGCCCACCACAACATGCACCTCTCTAGGTGGGGAGGAAAAAACTCAGCATAAACTGATGCCTCTTGGTGATGTGATCTGGGTGGGCTGCAGCAAGGACTGCCACGTCCCACCAGGAGCTCTGCCAAGATTAATGTCGGCATCCCAGGCCCAGACAACCCAGCATGCCAGCCCAACAGCAGGCAGGAAAATGTTCAGGGCCTGACTTGCTCCTCCCCTCGCGCTGTGATTGCATGAGAGGTCATGAGTGCTGCGGAGTTCATCTGCATCCCGAGAACTCACATTCATTTCGTCCCTCTGCATGCAGAGCTCTCTGGAGAGGTTCCCAGGAGGTGACCAGCAACTCTCATGGCTCCTGGTCCCCAGCCTTGTGCCTGTGTCACTGGAAAAATGAGCAGAGGTGAGTATTCTTGCAGGTTGTACTGCAAATCCCACCTGCCCTTGCTAGGCACAGCGTGTGGCTGTGGGTCAGCAGGGGAGGGAGCACAGTGTGACCTGCAGGAACCACTCCGCCCTTAGGAAGCATTTTTGAAGATGCTACTCCAAGGAGGAAGCACTGCCCACACGGGGACATATACCCCAGGGCAGAGCTCCTCGCCCCCATCCTTGGTTTTCTTTCAGTTCCAGCAGTTTCTTCCCAACTTCCCAGTAGCTGCTGGGCAGCAGCATTTCCTCATAGACCCAGTGGCTTCCTCATGATAGCCCTTCTGACACACCCTCTGGAAAAAAATAAAACTGAGTCATCTGTTTTTTTAAAGCATCTCACAGCAGTTTTCCTTTGCTCCCCCAGCCTTCAGCAGCAGAGCAGGGAAGTGCAAGCAGCTGAAAGCTCTTTTCTTCTCTTTGAAATATTCCTCAGTCACTGCTGAGGTACTGGGAAGTGAGTGGCCTCAAAGCACTGTGTTAAATTATTTTCTTGATGACTTTCTGGTGTTCTCAGTTTTGTATTTTGAAGTCAGTTTTGGGGAGTGGAAAGAATGGCCCACAGGTCTTTGCATTTCACTGCCAGCAGAAAGATGGCTTTAGGGACTAGGTGATGAGAGAAGCACAGGGGATTGTGTTTCTCTTCCTGATGCAAGAATCATGCCTGATCTGTCTCTTGTTACACTCCTGGGATGCTGGTGCAGGTGCACCACTCCACTGAGCCTCCCTCGGTGCCCAGAAAGGGCCTGGGCTCTGCTGCAGCCTTCCAGCAGAGCTTTAGTGTAGCTGCTTGTCCATCACAGCTGCTGGCATATGTTGTTTATAGTGGAGGTCTTGCACTGTATCAGCTTTCATTTGGAAATTTAATTTTCCTGTGAGGAATGGCTAATTCTTTTCCAGATGCTCAAAGCGAAAAAGAGCAATTTTAAAGGAGAGGGGAATCGCTGCCCCGCAAAGGGCAACCCTCCCTCTGTGCCGTGGAGGTGATCGCTGGCATTTTTGGATAAACCAAAGGAAACGGGCTCTGTCCTGCTTGGCCCATGCGGAGAAAACCAAAGCCCGAGGCGAGCGAGGGGGCGGGCAGGTTTTCCGATGGTTTTCCGATGGTGCAGCGATACCGTGTTGACAGTGATTTGTGCGGGGTGTAAGAGGCCAGCGCTGCTCTGAAACGCGAGCCCCCGAATGAATAAATCATGGGCCCTCTCTTAGTAATCTGACAACTCGGTCCAGCCCTCTCAGTGATCGGATCTGGCCCGTGCCGGGAGGGACTCGCGTTGTCCAGAGGATTTAAGAGCAGGGTCTGCCTGCCTGGGAACTCGCAGGAAAGCAGGGAGCCTTCTGCGTGGCGTGGGACCATGGAGGGAAATGCCCACCTCCTCCAGGTCATCCGCAAGATGCGTTCCCAAATCAACAAGCTGGAGAGGGAAAACAGGGCCCTGAAGGGAGAGCTGCAGGTCTGCGGGCAGAGGGTTATGCCACCGGAGAGAGAGGCAGCGAGAGGAGGTGGGGACAGCGATGCGAGGAGCCCCGCCGGTGATGGGGAAGGACCCGCTGGCTCTCCAGCATCGCTGCGGGGAAGCATCACAGCCAGTCCCGCTCTGGCAACAAAGGAGCAGACAGGTACCAGCGAGTCGGGACTGTCTGGGGCTGTCCCACGCAGGATCTCCCAGCCTGGCTATTACATGTCTGCAGGGGGTGGTTGATGAGCTGCTGGTTGTTCGTCTGATCAGCTCCATGTTTGTCTAATCAGCTCCATGAAAGTGCTCTGGCCACCTTTTGTGCTCGCATCTAAACCCACCATAACTGGGTGTCTTGCTCTGTGGCCTTCTTAGGGTGGTACCTGCATCCCCCAAGCTGAGCTTAGTGGAGTATTTTACTGCTGCTCAAAGGATCCGTTTGTTTAAGCAGAATTTGACTTACTGCTTTGGGTTTTCGCAGGCATGGACTATCCTGCTCGTGCCCGTCTCCTGTCTGTTCCAGGCAGAGAAGGGCCAACAGCTGTAACCGTGGCATAACCTCTCTTGCCCTAGCAAAAGATGAGAAAAACGCTACAAACAGTAACAAATAATGATGAGTTGGCTGCATACATCGTGCCAGATGTGCAGTTTAGTTTTGCAGATAACACAGTTCTGGCTGAGACAGAGAGGGGCCAATATATATATAGGAATACATTCTCTTCACAGTTTTATCAGAGGAGAAAAAACAGAAATACTCCCCAGTTAGAGAAGTCTGGTTGTGACTTCAGGAGGATTTAATGGATCAGGAATTAGAGCAAAATGTTGGTTGGTGAGAAGTACTGGAGAAATGGCTTCACAAGTTTTCACAGAGACAAATCTGTGTGAATGAATAAGATGAGAGGCTGAACAGCACTAGTGGATTGATGTGAAGCCAGGTGGCTGCTGCCAAGCCCACTAACCCAGTGGCCAGGTTACCAACCTGAAGGTTTCTTAAACCAGGGCTGCTGGCGGCCATAGATGTCATCACTTTGGGAATAGCAGTCTGGAGTTTTGGCAAGTGGGAAAGCTGTGGCTCTCCCTCTCCAGCTGCCTTCTAGGGGATAGGTTGAGACCCTAAGGCGCTGTCTGGCCTTCTCTGCCTCTCAGCCTCACCACGTACAAAGCTTTTTTGAGCCCAATAGAAGTGACTCAAAATAGAATGATAGAATATTTGGGATTGGAAGGGACCTTAAAGATCATCTAGTTCCAACTCCCCTGCTGTGGCCAAGGACACCTTACACTAGACCAAGCTGCTCAAAAACCCGTGCAACCTGGCCTTGAACACTTTCAGGGATGGGCCACCCACAGCTTCCCTGGGCAACCTCTTCCAGTGTCTCACCACCCTCACAGTAAAGAATTTCCTCCGAACATTTAATCTATATGTCCCCTCTTTTAATTTAAAACTCTTCCCCCTTGTTGTATCACTATCTGCCAGTGTAAAAAGCCATTCTCCAAAAGCAAGTTGAGGATATCTGAATTACTGTTTCCAGCTCTGCTTTTCCCTCTGTTTCTCAGATACTGCCATGACCGTGAGACGCTACCCCCCCATCTCACCAGCTCCTGCTCCTTCCAGTGCAAGGTCCCGCTGGGCTGGCAGGAAACCTTCGAGCAGCGGGTTCCCAGAGGTGCCAGGCAGTGCCTGGCCACTGGCCCCTCCTGCTGCAGCACAGCTCACCAGGGAGGAGGAGAAAGGGCCTGAAAAATCACCCTCCAGCTGTCTCTCCTGCAGCCACTCCAGCAACATGAAGCTGTTTCAGGAACACGTCTATAGGTGCAGGTAGGCTTGGTTTGCCTTCCCAGCATCAAAGCTCTGATAACATACATGCTCTGGGTCTTGGTTTGTTGTCAGTAAAATCTTTGCTTGAATGTATATGGGGACTGAGAAGACCAGAGACCTCTTTTGGGGAAATTGTCCTTGCAATATATGAAGTTTGGCAGTGGTAGCAGGTTAAATTTGCTATAGAAAGGAGAGGCTGGGGGAGAGAGAAAATCTTCACATTGTTATAGCCAGGCAGAATTTTGCAGATTGATGTGATGTTCTGACAAGCTAAGCTTGAAAGGGATTTTTAAACTAGGGCAAAAAAAGCATGGAGATACCAGGGAAGTCTGAACTATGCCTTTGGAAGTGTGATTACTATGGCTCATGGAATTAGATGTACTGTATTGTATTTCCCCTGTAACTGAAGCATTACAAGTTAATGCTTTCAGCCTTGAGAAAAGTAGTCTCAGGATGGTTTCTGAATTAAGTGAGATGGCTGCTGGGCAAGCCCTGAGCTCCTCTGATCATTGATGAGAAGCTTTCCAACACAGGACAACAACTAAAGCTAGTAGCAGCAGTAATGAACTGTGATACATGATAGCTCAGTCACCTCCTGGTGCTGATCTGTCCACTCTGGGAATCCGTTTCAATGCCTGGGTTTAGCCTGACCATGCTGTGTTCAGAAGCAAAATAACCCAAATGACCTCAAAGCACGTGTTTGAGCAGGGAGAACTCCATGGGTCTTCCCGTGCGTGTCCTGGGGAAGGGCTCCAGTGGCCATCCTGGTGGGCTGTGCACCTGCAGTGGGTTGTGTCACCCGTGTGTTTGTATCTGTCCACGTGGCCCATCGTGACAGCTTTTATTCTGCACCCCCTTCAGCAATATGTCCTCAGAGCAGAGCAGTGCCCAGCCCCTTGCACTCCCCCTGCAAAGGCAGCTCAGAGCCCAGCTCCTCGCTGAGAGGCTGCAAGGGACAACGAGGCCAAGTTTCCAGAGGCACCTGGGTTTTCTAGTAAGGACACTTCAGGGTCAGATGTTTTACAGCATTTAGACACCTAAATTTAGTCCCTGGCAGTGAACTCGTATCATTTTCAAAAGCACTGTGACCCTGTAACTCTGGATTTCTGCGTACGCTCCGCTGGGCTCGGGGAAACTCAAGACTCTGGGTGCACATGAACGCTCCGAGAGGTTTGCCCTCGAGCCAGCTCACGTGGAAGGCGTGTGTGGTGGGAAGCACAGTGTGCAGGAGCAGAATGGCAGTGGCAAATACTGCTGCTTGCTCATAGAAAGAGCTTTCAAAGCAACCAAAATAGCAGCGCAGATCTGTTACATCTACTGCCCTGGGACCTACCAGTAACCCTGCGGCCACAGGACGGTGCTGGTGATTTTATCACCACCACTAGAGCTGCCCTGCCAAGCTGAACAGCGGCGAGCGTGGCACCATGACTCATGTCCTCTCACTGCTGCTGCTTCAGGAGAAGAAATGGCCACAGAAAGAGCTTTTTTACCAAACACCCTCAGTAAGCTGTGTAATATCCCGAAGCACAAAAATCTGTGTTTCTTACATCAAAAAAAAAAAAAAAAGTCTAAAATCTTTTTTTTACCCAAAGGTCTAACACAGACACCAATCTTAGTTAGCTTTGCATTAGTAGGGTGGTTTCTAGCAATGAGTTCAGCAAGCTTATTAAGGTTAATTTTTTACAGGGATGACATTTTTGCTTCCCGACGTGCTGCTTCATGTCAGGTTTTCCTATTCTTCTTGTAGCTTTCTCACACTTTGCTCCAAGGCTATAATCCTGTGTTTGATGCTGATTTTTTTCTTGCTTTAAAATTAACTCTGTAAAAGTATCACCTTGAACTCATATACAGCACAGTTGCATCCAAGTAATAAAATAACAGCACTGCTAACAAATCATCAGTAGCTTGCATGTTTAAAATATTTTAATTCCCATATGCCAAAGCATTATTTATACCAAGGGATTCCTGCTTGTGTTTCATAAATAAAAAAGACATTAAATATTTGAATGCAGGATAAGAGAGGATGAGAACTGTTTTCAGGGCTATTACAGTAAAATCACAAAATGTACAAGGCCTGTTTGGTACAAATGTCACCACTGGGGTGTTCAGGTTTCGTTTCACCTTCCAGTGAGACAGGTCTCAGGTGAGAAGGTTGAAGGAAATCACAAAGGTCCTCTGCCTTGTAATCATCCCTAAATATTTTAATATTGTAATTATTTTCCTTCCTTTCTTGTGCTCCTCGAGGGCCTGACTGAGCTGACAAGCATCACAGAGGACAGTCAGAGTGAAAACCAAAGCTCTGCAAAGCTGAACCAGTTTGCATGCCAAACCAACCGGTTTTGGGGCACATAAAGCGGGATGTTTCTGCCTCTGGTGTAATTTACCACATTTGGAAACCACTACTCTCACACCTGCTGGCAGTAGCTGGGTTGCTTCGGTTTTGTTTTGTTTGTTGGGGGTTTTTTTTCTACTTTCCTCGCGTGTTTTATACATTTGTAATCCTCAGAATGCTTTCTCTTTTTTTTTTTTCTCCAGGGGTAAAGTAAAGGCTGTCAGCTTCCTCTTACCAGTGGATATGTCACCATTTGCTGAAAAGCAAGGTTCCCTCAAAAGCCCAGAAAACCAGAGCACAAAACGTCTGATGACCATCGCTGAAAAGGATATGTGAGCCAGTGAATTTTTAAAGGCCTATTGATTCCCCCAGATAAACTGGCCTTAAATGACAGCTGTGTGTCAGTTCCCCCACTGCAAAATGCTCTGGCAGGATGCCCGCAGAGCATCACCCAGCCTGTGTTTCGGGTCACGGCCCGATGTTCAGATGGAAATGGAAGCCGTGGAAAAGGCGGCTGCGAGCCCGTACGCTGGGATGAAGCCACACAAAGCGAAGGTACCTCCGCACAATTCTTCTGGGCAACACATCTCAAGGACCCCTTACCCCAGGACTGACGTAAACAGGCTGTTGAAGCTGTTTTTGGTGTGTTTTTGTCACAAAAAGCACAATCTTTGTCACCGCTTGTGTTTGCCGGTTCTGTGGACAGGAGGGTATTCGATGCAAATGACAAAGTAAGAGCTACTAAGGAGCCTGTGGGGTTTCTCTGTAGGTAGGATTTTCAAACTTCACAGTACTAATGCAGCAAAGTTAAGGAAGCACTACAGAGTCAGTTGATGTCACCCTGAATTTCTGCAAACCTTGGCACTGACTGTTTATGTTCATTTGAGGTTCGCCTCTAAGGGAGCACAGGGGAAAGTAAGCACCCATCACTATGAAAATGTGACTACAAATCTCTTTCTGACTTGGTATGTTAACCCAGGTGGAGACTAAAGGCTGTACACCAAGCCAAAGTAGGAAGAATTGTGAGTATCAGAATCTTTCAGGAATGCCTTGTCAGCACAGCTTGGATCAAAAATCATTAGCAGAAATTCAGCAAACAGGTGCAAAATAAATGTGAGAGAGAACTACAGACAGCTTGTAAGAAATAAACAGTGCTTGACAGTTTTAGTCATATGAGTAAAGATAGTGTCCCATGTGTTTATTTTGATTACAAGTATTTATGGTATCAAAATACTGCACATTGCTATTTCTTTATGTACAGACAGCACTGAATTTTGTATAGAGAATGCATGAAGAGTAGATGTTTGTACTGATAACTTTATGAAAGATTTTCACCTCATTGTCTGATTTTACACTCCTCAGTTTCCTAAAGCGAAAGCAGAGACCTGGTGGGAAAAAAAAATCCCTTCTGGATTTTCCATGAAGTTGTATACTGGTATAAAAATCTGTGCTCCTTTTTGAAATTCACCATGTTTTGTATATTCAAGTACACTTTTAATATATTCTCACCGTTGAAGTAATAATTTCAACTTCACTGCTATTTCATTTGTGTATTTTTATGTTCAGCTTGGGTCCATAGGGAGTTGCACTGTAATATCAGATTTAACGAATTAATGACTTCCAGCAAAAAAGGTTCCAGTTTGGAAAGTTTACTGAACAGCCCATTTTAGAAGGCATTACAGGCCAGTGCTTTCTAAATGCTTTAAAGAAAACATCATTGTCAGGAATTAGACACTGCATATGTGTTCAGTTAAGCAGTTGATTTCAAATCAGCAAAGTAACAAAAAGTCTTTGAAAATCTGGCCCCTGCACCTTTAAGGTACCCAAAGCTTTTGACAATTAGTGTTTGAACACCAGATTTAATGGGATTTTAGAAACCACATGCTTTAGGCAACTTTCAAAGTTTCAACTTTTACTTTTTCTAAGCCTCAGCTTCCATGAAACAGTTCTGGGAATTCTCTTCTCCCACCCTTTTTGTGTCAGTTCACTGCAGACAGGTGACTGACACTAAGAATCCACACCAGTAATCATGTGACAATGTCAGTTGTAGTGGGGTGCTGATGTTGTGGGTATGGTCAAAAAATTAGACTCACTGGACATTTATTAGAGGTATAATGGTCCTAAACTTTTGTATACTTCAAGGAAAAAAAAAAGAAGAGAAAAGATGGAAGGGAAAAGAGGGACAGGAATCAAAGTAGTCATTGACAAATAGCAGTCAGTATATTAACGGAAAGATTTATTTTTCAGTTATATTTTTGCAGTCTTTAGCAGTGCCCACAGATTTAAGAACACATGATGATACACAGGCACAATAATTTTTAGAAGCAGTTGTGCAGATTTGACCTAGCTCTGTATCTCCAGGAGAACCAGACTCCACAGAGTAGCAGAGGCCACAATGAAATCACTTAGCACATCATTTTTACCACAGTACAGCATGAAGTAACTTACCAGGGAGCACTCAATGGCAGTTAAACATTCCAGTATTAAACACCCATAGATGGTTTGGTGCAAAAAGGGCAGGTATAAGCAAAGCGAGTGTTAAAAGACAGAGAGATGCTGGCAGTAATTACACTGTGGTCCTTTTCTTTCTTCTTCCCAGGAGGATCCATACAAGTTCAGAGGAGCTCTGAGCTTCTGCCTAAAACTACTCTGTAATCTATCTGTGTTAAACCCCAGAATATATACTAAACCCTACTCACCGATGGCCAGGCTTGTTGGACAATTTCCGACCAGAAATTCCTTTTTTTTTTCAGAGAGGTGGTCAGAGCTATTCAACCATGCAGGAGTGGGACTGCAAGAGCAGCTGAGACAGCAGGAGGTTCCCTCCTGGACTAGCACTGGCCACTGAGAGACGTAAACTCCTGTGTCACACTTGTGCTTGGGACTAAAGTGGCTTTATATTTGTGCTGTACAGTGGAAAGTGCTCCTGTTAGAGGGTGTGCCTACAACAGCATTCCAGCAGAGTCAGGACTAAACTCCTGAGTGAATTTCCTGGGCAAACCCACTTACTTTACGTTGTTTCACATTGTAGAGTGGCCTCAGAGCACACAGATGAATCTCTTCTGGATGAAACTAAGTCAGAGGATGTGCTTATAAGGTGCTCCAACAGCTAACAGGTATTCAGTGCATGGGACTACATTAGTAAATCCTCTGAAATACTTGCAGTGTGGACAACAGCACTGATGGGTTCACTCTACACATCCTCTCTACTGGTCTCTTTACGTAGACAGAGCTGTAGAGCAGACTAGGGAGCTACTGTCTCAGGGATTTGGAAAAAAAAAAAAAAATCTAACCAGGTGAAATTTCACCTCGTTGTACTATAAAGAGGAAGAGATGCCTTTCATCAGTCTTACCTCTCTGTCTGGCGTTTAAAGAGCCTGGCTCTTTCCACGGACACAAAGGTGGAAATGTGATGCTCCAGACTGTTACAGAGGAGTAACATCATCACTTCTCCAGTGAGTTCTTGCTCAGGGTTCAAACTGGTCTCACACTGGCACCCTTAGACAATGAATCCATGCCCAAAGGTAATAAATCAGTGTGCAGGCTGCATCTCCCATCAAAGTCACCCACCCAGTCCAAGCTCCATTTATAGGAGTGAGAGCACAATTGATGATGCACTGAATCGTCCACAATCTTTATATCCATTGTATTTTTGCTCCTGTGTCTGAAGTCCCTGACAGATGAACCCCAAATTCTCTCTGCCGTTTCTGATCAGGCATAATCTAAGAATATATCAGCATGGAAGTAATTCAGCTGAGCGGCCTCTGACACCAGGTAAGTGATGTTGATCTTTAATGCTGCTGTTCTCAGTGATGTTAGCAACATTAATTCCAGCACTGACAGGCTCCCTCTGGAGTCTTGAAACTTTACTGTTGTTTAGCTGGGGTGACAAAATGAGCAATAAACTGGGAACTCGTTTGACGGTCTCAAATAGTCCATAGGCCTTCAGCAGTCCTCCAGTGCTGTGACAAATTTGATGCTGCGTAACTCCACCATTTACACGTCCTTCTGCCCCCACCCACACATAGATGGCTGGTTCAGAGGTCACAGAGGCTTTTTTTTACTGTTGGGTGCTATCAAGTACACGTTATTTTCTTTTCAGGATGCAAAAAAACCCCAGGTTGTATTAGATCTGTTCTGCACTTCTACTGCATAATTCCTGTGCCCAGCAAAAGAGCTGTTAAGAGATTAAGCTGTTATCACAGTTAAAATGCAGATCAAACTCTGCTAACCTTCCACGGGGAAGTTGTTGGCTGTGCTGAAGTCAAGACAGATGGTCACTTCAGGGAATGTTTCTTTTATGGCAAGTGCTCGTTTGAGTAGGAATATTTCTAGCTGGATGAGTCACCTCTTTCTCGATTACCAAAAAGTGATTTTTTACACAGGGATATTCAAAGACATGGCAGAAGCTGAAAAATACATCTTCACAGCATCTTGCAAGGGTTTCCTTCTCCAGTGGGAGTATTATATAGCACGTGTAGATTTTTTAAAAAAAATAACCCCCACTATTTTATTTTTACTGAAAACTGTGATGAAATGTTCTTTTTTTCCTTTTTTTCTTTTTTTTCTTTTTTTTTACAAAATCATGTGGTGCTGGATATAAAAAAAATCAGTCCCACAACAGCAAAATGCACAAGATCATAACAAAATTTCTCTGTTTAACATAAAACCGAGAAACTTAGAGCAAAGTGCAAAAATTGGAGCGAACATTTCTGTTCTGTGGCTCTTCAGAAGCAGGTTTGACTCTTCCCTGGTTTAGAGGACGAGGACCATCATCTGCATGCTGGTTGCCATGGAGACTCCCATCGCTTTTGGAATCACAAGTTTTGCCTGAAAGGAAACACTCCTGCAGTGTGAGTTTTTAATGACCATAGAGGTTTCTGTTTGTCAGCACATCATATGCTAGATTAACTGCCACGTCTAAGCAGGTGGGAGGGAAAGGAGTAAAATATTTTCTGGTGATTAGTGACAACATATTTAGCCTGTATAAAATCCACAAGGCAGATAAATAGAACTACAGGACTTGCTGCATTAGATTAGGCTGTTATGGCATCAAATCTGTTATCTCTCGGTATCAGCTACTTCAAAGGAGAATAAACTGTGGTCACAGAACACGAGCATGGCAATAAATCCTTGTGATTCCTGCAGGAGACTGGCCTGAGGCCTGAGGTCACTCTTTTTCAGGTTTCACTCGATCAGCTTCCCCATAACTCTATGTTTTCTAGGAAAAGATGTGTACGTGCACAACTGGGTTCATCCATGGGAAGAGCTGTCTAACATTTATCTGTTCTATCTGCACTGCCAGAAGGGCTCTGGGGTTTTACAGCACTGTCAGCTTCTTTCTCCCTAGTGCACAATTAACACCTGGGACTGCTCCAAAGGGGAAATTTGTTTGACCCTAAACAGTGTGCAGAGGGGTTGGTTTCACCAATGTGTGTATGTTGGCATGAATTTCTGGCTTGAGTTACAACAATGGTTATTCAGAAAAGGAATATAAAGAACCTGCAAGATTAAGCCTCAGTTACTTCCTGGTTCTATTGCCTCTGTGAAATGGTAACTGAATAACTACCTGTTAAATCTGCAATTTTCCTTTGATTTCTTCTTTGGAGGTTGTTTTGAGCATCTGTGGGGCCATCAGCATACTTCATTGCAATAGTTGGGGTCTGGTCCTTCTGTGGCTGAGTCTGAGTAACTGAAAGAACAGAAAAGGGCATTTAATTGGGTTGTTTTAACATTCATTTGTTCAAGGAGGAAAAGATATGTCAGGTTGACTCTACCTGGCTGATGAGAACTTGGTATTGTTTCGGTCCTGCCTTCTTGAAAAGACTGAACAGATTCATGGCTGGAATCTGAGTCTTTCATTGGCCTTCCCATAATCTCATTCTCAGTTGCATTTTTATTTCTAATGAGGAAGTATGTGTGCATTTTCCCTTTGCCTTTTACTTCTATTTCTCCTCTCTCGGTAATCTCAAAATTCTTGTATTTTAGGCACCTGCAGTATCAGAAACAAAATGATACATGAAAATTCAAGATTAGCAAAAATGACACTGGAATTTTAAAAGAGCTAAGTAATGAAATCACAACAGTTTGGTAAAAACAGTCTTGATTTGTGAACAACGGAGGGTTTGATTCAACAGTTTATTCAGACCTGCCGTGCTTTTATAGTTTAACATATACAACCTGATCAAAAATCAATGGATCACATAGCCAAATACTTCAGGGTGGTGGAGGGTTCTTATTGACCAGTATATAGAAATTAAGAACTGAGGCCAATATCAGCTAGGCAGAATTAACTCCAGTCATTTCATCAGAGAAGGCAACCAGGTCCATCAAGCACGATTTCTTCTTTATTTTACATACAGACTTGCTGTTCCCAATTGCCTTCTTCACGTGTCCAAAAAGGGATTCCAAGAGGACTTGATTTTCACTAGAACTGACATGAGGCTGATCAGCTGTAGTTTCACACTCTGTCCTCCTTGTCTTTTTTCCACAGAGCTGTAATATCTTTCTTCAGCTGCCGCAGTGCTGACAGCGTTGACCTTCCACAGGTGGCAGTCAGCAGCACTGTAGTGCCCTCACCCAGCTCTCTCATTACCTCATATCCCAGCTGCTCCCATACATTTCCATAGACTGAGATTTCTCAGAAGGCCCCTGATCTGATCCTCTTCCAATACTGGTACTTCACTACTCCTTGAACCCTGACTCTTGGTGCAGGGATTTGAAGACCTCATCAGTGACTGCTGAGGCAAGAAAGGCTTTGAGTAACTCAGCCTTTCTTCAGGGCACTGTCTCTAAATCACCTGCCACCACAGGTCCACATTTCCACTTACACCTCTCTGCTAACACAGCAGAAGATCCCCTGCCTGCCTTTGAACTTTCCTTGCCCATTTCAGTGCTAGCTAAGCTCTCACTTTCCCAGTATCATTCCTGTGTGCCCAGACAATGTTGTTGTACCCATTCCTTTGCAGTTTGTCCTTGCTTCCACCTCTTGCATACAGATTTTACACGTGCATGATATTCTTGAAAATTTAATTTTTACTAGCGTGAGTTTCGGGAAAGTAAATTACAGCACAAAGAGGATAGTTGTTTATGCAGTAAATCCTTAGTAAGCGTAAATAAAACTGTTTCGCTACAAATTATTGTGCTCAGTTGGAGAGGTTTTAAAGCATTTATTATTAAAAGTTCTGACTGTCTTTCTAGCATCTAAATCACTTTATCAGGACTTCCACATAAGCTACCATAATTATTGTTTTAAATATTTTGCTCTCTAGGGTGGAGGCTCTTAAACATCTGCCTCCATATATAAATACAATTGGAAAAATTAGAACAAATAAAACCCTTTACAAGCAGTGATTTTCCTATATAACCTGCTTAAATCAGTGCTGCTAAGGCGGCACCATCTACACTGCAGCTGTCAAGGCAGTGGGTTTTAGCACTGATTTTAACAGGTAAAGTTTCCATCACAGTTACTCACTGGTAGGCACTGGAGCTCAGGTGTATTTTACTGGGGACACCGTGGCTCTCCATCCGGGAAGCTATATTCACTGTGTCTCCAAACAGGCAATAACGAGGCATCTTTTCTCCAACAACTCCAGCCAGGACAGGACCTGTATGGATCCCAACTCGAATCTTTACAGAGACATAAAACACCCCCCAGAAACGTCACTTGTTGTTTAACGTCTTTCTTAAAGCTATTCAGCCACCTAAAAGTTCACCTCAACACAACACTGGACACCAGTCAGATATCAAATTTCCACATGGAGAGGCTCCTCACGAAAAATGTACCCGTGTGGGCCTCGCTCCAAGTCATAGAGGAGTCAGAAGCAGCTCTTTGAGGTCCTGCTGCAACACGTTAACCAGAAGCCCAATCCAAAAAGCAGACAGACACACATGCATCATTGCATTAATGACTTACTTGGATAGGATTTCCAGAAACTGGGTTCTGTACTCCTTTAGCTGCGATTATCATCCCCAAGGCAAAATTAGCAACTCGCTCAGCGTGAGTGGGGACAGGCACAGGGACCCCACCTACCACCATATAGGCATCTCCAATTGTCTCCACCTTTAAACGAGAGGGACAACATGTCAGCATGCCGTGTACATCTTGCTCAGGTGAGGGTTTTGCTGCTGGGGGCTGCACCAACTCCCCCTTTCTCCTAAAAGTTGTTTCAATCACCGAAAAGCTTTAGCACAGTGGAGTTTCCTTGTGACAGAGATCCTCACCTTCACTCCACTAAAAATTTCATTGCATTGTGTCCCTGCTTACTTGACTCACTTTAGATATCAGGGAGAGAGACCCTAAGGAGGAAGGGTTGCTGTGCAAGTGTCAGACTGTTTGCCTTCCTCTTACCCAGGGCAGACCTATATGCAAAGGGCTATCCCCAGGTGCAGACTCCTGAGCCAGGAGGTTGTCTGACAGATTAATGTATTAATTAGCTCTAATTCACAACTGGTGCTGAATTATTTAAGATAGGTTTATTTTTTTTTAAAGTCACAAGAAAGCAAGGCAGACTATTCACTGATGATTAAGGGGTTCACATGAACTTAAGGAACCTCCAAACTCCAGGATGTCAGAGAATGCAGTGTGACCTCAGCAGTTGGGAAGCATCCTTCCTTACAACCAGCTGTTTTCCAGCAACAGCTGCAGCCTGCAAGACAAATTGGGTTGAAGGGATCGTCCTCCTTCAGGTATCCAGTCTCCTTGAAGTGCATGATAAAGGATCGGATTTTGGATTTTCTCCCTGTACCAGAATTTTTGCTGGGAATAGGACAGGCCTGTTTGAAACAGAGAATTCTCAAATGTTTGAAATTCACTCCAGAAGACTGTTACACGGTAAGGAAATTTTCTAAACCACTCTTACAAGGCTTCCCTGTCACATTTACCATCAGTAAACAAGACAAGTTTTAGATTAGATTAACTGGATTTCTTAAAAATTAATAGAACCAATAGGACAGTGGAAACATAGCTTAATATTTGGGTTTGTTCATTAACGTAATGACTTAAAACTGTCCATTATATCAGCCTCAAAGAATGTGTTCCTGTCCATGCCTTCTATAAGATAGCCAAACCCACAGTAATTTTCTGTAACAAATTAAAAACAACTGTAAAAAGCTACTAATGCAAATAGATACCCTCATTATTTTTCAGCTGCAGTAGTAGGAGCTTTAATTTAAGAAGATTTATTCATAACTTCAGATGTTTATAAGCTTGGGCCAAGTTTCTTTAATCAATTTCACTATTCCATTTCTCAATTCCCTGCAATAGTAATCTCATCTTCCCCCTCTGTACCCTAGTAACCTCCTTCAATATTAATAGGAGTTATATACAGGCATCAAAAGGAGATTATTATAGTGACAGATCATTTACTCATGATGGATGATTTAGACAGAATACGATGCTAATTTATCCTAAAATCTGTGGGCCATATCCTGGATACTTCAATTATTGAATACAATTTCCTTGCCAAGGCAGAAATGTCTCTGATTTCCCAGTACAATTTTTGGTGGGATGAACTGTGTGCCTTGCCCGAACAAGGAATGAATTAGATTTGGATTTCACCCTTCACTATTTCTGCCTTCCTAAATATTTAATGTGCTTGGGACAGACAGAAACTTCGGACCTGCTCTTCAGCTCATCAAATCTGGGTAATTCTGGAGATGTTAATAGTACTGACAGTTTAGGTCAGCCAGGGCTCTGATCCTTCCAGCATGGTTTGGAAACCACAGGTACATTAGAGTATAGATCTAGCTGGTGCTCTTTGGGGTCAGCAGGAGATGGATACCATTGCTAAAGTTCTCCATGGAATTAAAAAAAAAAAAGGTGTAGGTATTATCTGGGTATTGTTTATGATGTTGCATGCCTCCACTAAAGGAGACACTAATGACATAGTGACCTATTACAGCAGGTTGAAATAAAGGAACTAGGAAAATTATTCAAATTAGTCCATAAACCAGGATGTCCTGTCATGTTGGATAGGCATTGGAGAAAGGTGAGAGAGAGAGAGAGAGAGAGAGATATGAAAGAACAGCCATTCTGGTGATAGTGTTGTGGAAAGAGACTTTAGACCGTGACAGACGTTATGTTCCTGTCCAAAAATTTTAAACATAATTAATCACAATTCTGCCTGCTTTTTAGTTTGTGTGGCCCTACAAAGAGGCAGTACTTTATGGTTTATAAAAAATCATACCGGGGTGAAAAGGATTTAATTGCATTTAAAAACAAACAAACAAACAAACAAAACAAAAAAAAAAAACACACCAAAACAACAACAAATTTTTTTCCCAGACTATTTCTACAGCCTTTATCAGTCAGTACATACCTTGTACACGTCGTGCACCGTGGTCAGCCTGTCAAATCGCAGGTACATTGAGTTCAACATGAGAACTATCTGAATAGGCTCGCATTGGGCACAGATGTTGGTAAAGGTCACAACATCACTGAACAATATGGTGCACTCCTGGAACTCCCCTGCGAGCAGAAAGACCAGTGGTAAGTGCTTGTAATGGCTGGACAATCACAACAGCTGTTTGAGACTTGTTTGCAAAGGTCATTCTTTTAAGACACGTGTCCTGTCAGTTGTGATGCTCATACAAGTGTTCTGAGATGGAGAAATGTTGATATAAGACTATATCAAATATAAGAATCACTACACATCTCAAACAATCCAGGCATCTGAATACATCACATACAGGATATGCTTAGCACTTTACCTCTAACTCCCTGTACGTGCTTGCTAAAGGGAATTTAAGCATATTCTTGCTATCTTTTATAAAAATAGGAATCATTATGATTCAGTGTTTATAGATAGCATAGAGGAACTTAGAGAATTTCCTAGGAAAGACCAATTTCTTTATTCCGTTCTTTTCTGAGCCCTCATTTCCTGTATAACCACATTAAAACCAAAATCTCAGATTAATGGCAAAATACTGAATTTTGTTCACTGAATGGGCAGCTGCCACCACCTTCCACCCCCTAAGGAAAAATTTTGGCAAGTAGTTTCCAAAGCTTTCTTTGAAAGAATAGCCTATTTTTTTTCATTATCAGCAAGATTAAGGACCTGTGGTCCTCCTTCTACCCATGAATGCCACCAAGCAGAGAAATGTGCTCCACAGCAGTGGCAGAGGGGCTGTGCCAGTATCTCTATCACCATCTCCTGGTCCGTGAATTATACACCACAAATGCATCCTGTTCATTCACCTGCCTCGACTCGCTTCCCCTCTTTCAGCTGGTTGGCCACGTGCTGGGGAAGCATGGCATAGAGCAGAGCTTCAGTCTTCTTCTTCTCTTCCTCCAGGTGCTTGGACAGGATGCGCAGTTCCTCCTTCTTCCTCTCCAGCTGGTTAGAGAGCTCCATCTCCGCCAGTCGCTGCTGGTTGAGGAGAATCAAATCCCTGGTCACATCGTGAGGGGCAATGTCTGCAATGTGCATCTGTCGCTCCTCCAGCTCGTGCAGAGTGCGAAGCAGAGGCGAGCAGAGGTAGAGCATGCACTGCAGGGGCTCCATCCACATCATCTGCCCTGTTTGGGACAAGCAGAAGCGGTAAGAGCTTTCAGCAGAGTGGATTGTCACGTGATGCTCAGCGTTACTGGTGTTCGCTTTAGGGGATGAGTTCTAAGGACAGTGGGGTTTTGTAGGGTCTGGATCATCACAGGAACTTGTTTCCTGGAATTAGAGGTGGGCTTGTTCAGAGGGGAGCTACGCTGGGCAAGTAATTAAATGTCAGGGCCCAGGAAGGCATCACTCCCTCATTGCGACTGCCAGGCAGAGTCCAGCCATGCTCCAGGTCCCTCCTCTTCATGGGGAACCCCAGTGCTCACAACATTTCTTCTCTCCCTCTGCTCTGCTCTGCTCTCCTCTCCTCCTAGTTCTTAAGCTGTTGCTGAAGCCAGTCAGGAGCTTGCACAGGGGAACTGAGAATCGCAGCGACTGAGTGAAACATTTGAAATTTAATCTCACAGTGAGTAGTTTGTGCCCCAGTTAAGTCAATGGCACTTTCTTTCCTGGAAGCTGCAGCTTTCAGTCCCTATCATAAGCTAAATAAGCAGTTATAAAAGCGCTTGAAAGGTAGAAGGGATTTTTGGTGGGGGATTGAGGTTTTTTTGTGTTGAGATTTGGTTATGATTTTGATTTTGAAATATTATTATTATTATTATTATTATTATTATTATTATTATTATTATTATTATTATTATTATTATTATTATTATTATTATTATTATTTACTTGCTTCATAAGCATCATTGGTTTCTGAACAGCAATCTAGGAGTTCCTGTATCTTTCTTTCTCTCTCACCTCATCCCCAGGGCAACTGGATGAACAGCTTGAAAACTAAGAGGATTGAAACACCAGAGACACCATGTGAATTAACCCTCTCCAGCATAAGAGAAAGTACAATTGTGTCCAGTTAAAATTCCTTGTTCTGGTAGCAACACTTTTTTTCAAGGTCTCCCTAAACTCTTTTTTTTTTGACTCTCAGGAATACCAGATTTGACACTCATTATGTAAAGGTGAAAGGAGATAAGGAAAAAGTAGGACATATTACATAGTTCAGAGAAGCAAAATTGAGGTCACAGAACACTTAAACCAAATGTAATTACAGTTAATTACACAAAGCAGAGGATCATTCCATACTCTGTCCTCTCAGCAAAAATAAAGCCAATACATTTTTTTTTTTGCTAAGATAATTTTAACTGGTAAACTCTTACATGACACTGGGGGTGTGTGTGAAGACAGAAATCGGAATCTGAAAATGTGGCTACAAAAAAATAAAAGCACAGCTAACTAATCTATTTTTATCCACATCTGAAACCCAGCCAGTAGCAAATAACTCCCCTCAAAGGCATAAATTAAGAACTAATCGTGTATTCACATGTGGGTTTTGCAGCATTAGAAAAACACCATATTTCTAAGCCTTTCAACTGGGAGTTGAGTTGTTGCTTCTGACCAAAAGTCTTCAAAATGTGGTGAGGTAACAGCAGAATTTGTCTACAAGCATCTACTGTTTCTCTAAACAGAATCATCTAATCTCCTCACTGCCCAAAGGCTATTTATAGGACTTATGTGAGGTCAGGAGTACACAGAAAGACATCAGTTCAACTCAGCATAATTCCGGATTTCATATGAACACTTATGCTACTGACAACACCAAAGTACCTCTCAGCTCTAGCATGGGCCGTTGTTTCCATGACTCTGGCATCATCTCTCTTCTAGTTTGGAAAACAAATTGGCTGTTGATGAATTTCTGAATGCTGGAGATGGTGAAAGGTACTTCTGGGTGAACGATCCTGAAGTACTGGTCCAAGGAGATGCCCATGGTCTGGAGGCCAGGTACAATCTTCTGAATGCTCACCCCAGCTTGCTTCACTCTGAGCTTAAAAAGAAAATATGGACCATGCTGTAATTCGTGTCTTGCTGGGTTCAGACCAAGCTGCAGCTGATCACTGTTTGTACATGTGCACACACTTAGCCTTGCTATAGCACATGGCTTGTTTCTGAGCAAAGTTTCTACCTTGTTAGTGCACTGCTACAAAGCTCTGAATGAGTGTGCTTTATGGCAAGACACCAAAACACCTTGGCAAATATTAATTTTCTAATGTCTGCTTTCTCTTAAACATTGGTGTGTAAAGGTTTAGTTTGTCCCTTTTGGCCTGCTGACCATACATGAGCTCTTAATTGCTGCAGAAATGTCCTGCACTGCCTGTCAGCAGTTTTTGAAGCTCTGACCTAGCTACCAATAATAGGTGTAGGACTTTCCCTCTGTGCACACTAGTAATTTTAATTAAATTACGCAAGTGAGACATCTTGAAAGGTTTAAGAGCCTGAATTTTGTCTAATGTGGGCAGTGGCAGGAAGCAGATTATGTGCTCTGGAATCTCTATCAGCAGGATGCCAAAACATATTCCCTGAGGGCCTGTATTCTGCTTTCTTCTTCTGTCCTATCCTCACCCTCTCCTCTCTTTGCTTCTGTCTGAACATAATATTCTCTCCACAGAGTTGGGAGCAAGAGGAGCTGTAGCTTGCTGGGAACCCAGGCTGGTTGGCAACCTGCCAGAGGGAAGCCCTGCCAAGGGCTGCTGAGTATCCATGCACAGGAGAAGAGACTCAATCCTCCCCCAGAAGGTAAAGAGGTTTTTTGGGTTCTAGATGAGGCTGCACACTGCTCGACTTAGGAGGTAGCTGGGTTTTCCCAGCAGGAGCAGGTAAGAGTAGACTCAGGAGGTACAGGAGCCTCAGCTGCCAGCAAAGCGCTCAAGGCCCTGAGATAGATTAGTAACTGGGAGGAGAGGGGGACTAGCTATAAGCACAAAGCCACTTTAAAGGATGGGATGTGTCTCTGCTGTATCTGGGACAGAAAGGTGGCCACAAACCCCAGAAAGTTCCGCTCAGTATTTGGTGAGGGACAGGCTGCTGCAATAAATTGCTGCTTGTTGGCATATCTGTAGCTGTTTCAGACATGGTAAACTCAGTAAAGTCAAAGGAGATTGCTGTTTGAAATGATCCAGACGCAGCTGTTATGCTCATTGCACGTCTGTGTATTTGTAGGATTCTGCAAATCCTACAGATGAGTGTACACTGCATTCGGAGCACACAGAGCACTGCACTGTAGGACAGTCAAAACAGGGAAGTTACTATTTGGTTTATGTAAACTAAAGGCCTTTACCACATGCTTGTCCTACCTCTTTGTCGAAAACCATATGGAAAGGAAGTCCATTGCAAAATGTTTTTGTGTCAATCCAGAGGCTCTTGGGATAAACAGGATCAAATCCTCTCAGGAGCTTACCTGTGGCAAGATAAATGTGTATTTTTTTAACAAGGCTGCTCTGCATTACTTTTTAGCACTCAGTGAGACAGGACCCTGTATCATAATGAGTGAAGACAAAGCAAACAGCGTGTGGGCCCAGAAATGTGCACACATCTGTGCTAAATGCTCTGCAGCTCAATCCACAGCTGATTAGCAACTAATCTGAGCTGGCTGAAAGTTTAGCACTTAACCACACAAAAAGCACAGAGCACTAGATGCATGAAATTATGTGGAAAAAATAAGAATAGATGAACAACTGTAGATGTTGCTGCTCTACGAGTTTGCAGATGCCATAGCAATAAAACACAGCTATATCTCACAAAAATGTGCACGGAAGTGGACTTAATACACTTTGCTAGCTACTAAGAAACATTTACAAAGAAAAAACCAACATGATCTGGGATTTAGTCTCCTGCACAATGAGCTCGAGTCCACAGCACAGAGACCAAATCACTATTTGATTTCTATTTTACTTACCCTGAGATTTTTTTTCAAAATGGTCACAAATGTACAGAGTAGGTTGTGCTTACTAGCAGATGCTTTTCCGAAAGGGATACAATGGGTAAAATAATCAAACGGGTTCATCTTTTGAATGGAGCAACGAAACCTTTGAGCTTCACAGTATAAACTTGGATTCTCCAGTAACTCACAAAAATCAAAAGGATGATTATTTCAAGCGTTCTCTTTCCTCCAGAAGGTGGCTATGACAGCTACTCTAGTAAACTCTGCTGAAAATAATTCTCAAGTCATTCAGGAGACTGGTGCAAAATATTACAAATTTAGAACCCAGCTTTTAGACGTCTTACTGCTTCAGGGGAAGTTGATGTGAGTTTTTCATTTGTCAAAATCAACCTCTTGATAACTCTCACATTTATAGCTAAAGGATTTTTTTTTTTTTAGTAATAATGCTATTCTAAAATTTTATTTTAAATATATATTAATTTCTTACTCAATATATCTGCCCTTGTAATGCATGTGACACTGCAATAGATGATATCAGGTTCAATTTTTCACTCCCAGATTAGCAGTAGACTTTTGGTAGTGGAGGATGGAATTTGCCTTTCAGAATTTACTATAGTTGAGAACTTTGGAAAGGAGTAGCATCTACCACGTTAAAAACATGTTCTTAAATTCATCATCTTTAAATCAAGTGACATGAAAAGGAAGAATCAAATGCACCACACAATGACACTTTATAGAAGAATACTTTTTAGATGAAAGCCCTGTTTAAGAGACAAGAGTGACAGTCATATTCCATTTAAGTATCTGTCATTACTAAGCATGCTTATTATCTTCAATTTTCCTTTGATTATGTGTGTCTAACAGAAAGAAACTTAGCCAGAAACATTTTGAAAATTCACAGAGGAAATATAAATGGTAATTTCAAAGTGGGTGGGTGGGTGGGGATAGGGAGGCTTACTGACTTTCTTACTGAAGAGACTCAGAAATGATGACAAGCTCCCTCTGAACAATTTCTCACCTCTGCCTAATGCGATTATTCCTCTTAACGTTTTCCAGTGACTTTTCTTAACAGGACAAACAGAGTTTCCTCTGTCTCCGGTTGTATTCTTGGCTTTTTCAAGGTCCTGTTGAAATAAATGAGAAGGGAAATTCAATTTTTATTTTCAATATGTTATAACAATATACTGATAATGAGCATTAAAATACCTCTTTATTCAGTTGGCTCTCACTTTGTTTTTCAGAGTCAACAAGACACTGAGGTGAGGACGAAAATTCTTTTCTTTCCTTGCATGGAAACACAGGGTTTTGAGTGACCAGAAAAACAATATGTTCTTTTTTCCCAGTTCTCTCTTCTTCTTCCGTTTGGTTGACTATTTTCATTGAAATCTCAATGTTAAAAAAATCCAGGGCTGCTGCACCAATGATTCCTGAAGGGGAAACAAATGACAAGGTATAGCCAAGAACAAACCCTATTCATTTTCCCTTTTAGAGGGTCCGTGGTGGAGTTTCACTGTTTCAGAAATCACTTTTCCAAAGGACTCTGGAAGAAGAAAGCAATGTCTGTCGTCCTTACGACCACTGCCGTGATGAGAATATGCACATAGGAGGTAAGCTTTAAAGTTACTCTATCTTTTGCCTTGTCTGAGGACAAATGCTTATTTTCGCTAGAAGCAGCTCAGCAGGGTATCTGAAGAATGTGTTCAAGTAGTCATGGAGCAATAATATGAATTCCCATTAACCCCAAAAAAGTGCAGGGAGTCTGGAGAGATTCTGCTATGCAATCTATTTCAGTCACTGCAGAATATTTTATTTTTGAAAGGAAGGAAATGTCTTTCATGCAGGTGTACGATCAGTTCTCTCATTTCTCTCTAGGTATTAGGCAAAATACCGGACAATGACATCAAAAGCTCTGTTCAAAATTCCAAATAGTTCTGTGCTTTCAATATGGCACAAGTTTTGACAAAGGGGGAAGTCTGGATAAACTTTTAAATTCAGTATCATCTGTGAAAGAAAGGAATACCATCATCTCTTACAGACCTATGGCTGTTTAACCCTTGCACAAGGACAACCGTGGAGATTCCTTTAACACTGGTAGAAGATTCAGTTTTGAGCAGGGTTTAGTAGCAGTTGTACAGATTGCACATCCTACAGGGTGGATGAATGTCTTCAAATCAACAGTAATTTCTGTAATTTCTTCACTGTAATTTAAGGACCATGAGTCACTGAGAATTAATAAGCAGTGAGACTCAATACACACCATGAACTTTAATTTTTCTCCCAAGAAGGGAATTCTGTAGCAGGAATGGATACTTATGGCCTGGGTTGTCATGTCATAAGTTTTGATGGAAGCTACTGGGAGCTAGGAGTGATCAGGCAGTAAGGAAATACTGAGTTCAGGCATCTGGAGACTAAACTTTAACCACACCAATTCCATGGCCTGTCCTCATCTGAAAAACGTCTGAAATCTGAGCTAGGTGTATCTGCAAATATATGATTACTCTGTATATATATTGCATTTTATATGTATACATATAAACATATATATATATGGGGGTGTGTGTATATAAATATATATATATATCTATATATATATATATATATACCTGTACACTGAATTTTGTCTGGTTACCTGGTACAATATGGCACAGACCTCTTCTGTCTGAATAGTAATGTAAATGCATTGACCCATCTTCATTCTTTTCTACTCTAAAAGATGGTGCATTCATTTCCTGAGGAAAAAACAAACAAACAAAAACAAAACCTCAGCATCTCTTTCTGATAAAGAATGTATGATTAAGAAACTGATGCATTCCACTTGAACAAAAGTATTCATGTCTTAATAATATGAATAAGATGAAAAACAGAGAATTAAATATTCTCACCTGTGAAGGAAAATCTGCTATGCAGAATTTTTAAAAATTGCCCTAGCATGTTGGAGTAATCTGTTTCAGAACACAGGAGAACATGTTATAGTGTGTTTTTTCATTATTCATTCACATTGATGAGATGCTGTTCCTTGTGCTATGAACTCTGGCAGAGTCCCCCCCATACCTGCTCAGCAATTACTACTTGGACTTGCCTGGTAAGAAAGGGACAGGTAGCTGTGCAATGCATCCAGGTTCTCTATGAACTCATAGAGATTTCCACCCAGCGTCCTCAGCATGTGGTCATAGCCTGAGCGCTTACAGAATTCAAAGAAATACTTCCCAAACTCTCTCAGAACCAAGTCAGCAGGAACACCTGGCAAAAATAGAGACACCTAGTAAGAAAGGCTTGGAAATGCTGTGAGGTGGACTAAAAGCGAAGGCAGAATGTTTGCAATGTAGGGAGGGCGTTCCAGAGGGCTCAGGAGACTAAACCTGGGCTGCAGTGTCAGGCCTGACCCAGGACGGCTCATTTTTGCAGCGTGGTGACACATACCTAGTACTTTGCAGGCTTTGTCGACAAGCTGCATGGTGATCTCATCTTTGTAAACCTCAAAAGTCAAGAAAGAATCCTGGACTCCAGCCTGCAGTCTACAACAGAGAAGACAATATTCCTGTCTCAGCCGTGCCGTAAATACAACATGCTTGGGTGATTCAACTGGCATTTGTTAAGCACTGTTTACTGGGAACACTCCTTAATCTCCTTCAAGCGTTACACTGGAACACACTACTTCCCATAATGATGTAGGATTAAAATTAAGTTGCTTTAAATTAATTAAATTGCTTTAACATGGCTGAACGGCGGTGTGCACCCCTCAATTCCTGCTATTTTACATTATGGTGTAGGATTCAGGCATCATGGTGTGGGGTACTAAAGCAAGAAGAGTCTTAGTTTGTCTTCTGTTCAGTAGGGCCACAATGCCAAGCTCCAGGGGCTCCACAAAGTGGCTGGTTGCTGTTTTGGTTTTTTTTTTATATTGGTTTCAAAGATTAATATATGTATGTATCTAAGTACCATTTATGTATCTTTATATCTTGGAAAATACCATATAGTTCACAAAGTAAGGACAAAACAAGAGATGGCCAGATTGGATGGGCTTTGAGCAACCTGGTCTAGTGGACGCTTCCTTGACCATGGCAGGGGGATTGGAACAACATGATCTGTGATTCTATGATTTCACTGTTTCTGAAAGTACTGGAATTAAACTAGCTTTATATCAAGGATGACATCTTTTCAGGGTAATTACTTCTCAATATTGTCACAGTGAGCCAGCAAGTCTATTGCACAATTGTCTATAAGACTAAATGTCATCTTTAATTATCTGATATGACAAATTAATTGGGACAAATTAGTATCAGAGTATGAAGTGTACAAGGCAAGAAACTCTTGCTTTTGTCCTGCTAGTTACTTCTAATAATTACTTGAGATATACATCAGCTGCCATTTACCAATGAGAAATTATAATCCCCTGGTGCTGAATTCCTGAGCATTTTCTTTCAATGCACTACAATTATTGGGGACACATTACCTTAATTTTTCCCATGTTTCTTCACCATACTTTTCAACCACCAGAGACTTCAGGCATGTGTTTATAAATCCATACTGTAAACGCAAACACATGAAACGAAAAAATACATACTGATTTTTCAAATGCGTCCCCAACGTGCCACCTGTTCCAGATTCCACCGCTAATTTTATATTGCAAAAGATAAGGTGATAATGTTTGACAGCCATTATATCTTTCAGTAAACAGCACAGCCTTTTACCTCAGCATTTCACAAGCATTCACCAGAACGGAGCCAGCAGCCCATCCTGTTATGCGGAGAAGGACGGGGGGGCTCCCGCAGGTCAGTGATGGGCTGTGCCGTGGATGCAGCCCCGGTGTGTGTGTGTTGGGGGGGCACAGCAGCCACGCACCCGCGGGCGAGCTGGCTGTGCCGTGGCTGCTGTTCTGCGTTAGCAGCGACAGACCCCGCGCTGGAGATGGCGGGGAAATGCTGAAATATCCCCGGGTAGCCCTGCCGGCGCAACGCCAGCCCGAGCGTGATGCGCCCCGAAGTCCGCGGCTCAGCAGCACCCTGCCCGCGGCAGCGACGGACAGAGGCTGTCTGTCCGTCTGTCTGGCTGTCTGTCTGTCCGCCCCGGCTCGCCCGCCGCCCCCCGGCCCCGCTCACCATCCTTTCTCCTCCGCGGCTCCTCCGCCGCCGGTCCCTCCTCGCCGCCGCTGCCGGCCCGGGGGGGTGGCCGGGCCAGGCCCGGCCCCGCCGCGCTCGCCGGGGCGGTGACACCCGGTGGCCGCGGGCACAGACGCGCCGCCAGCACTCGGAGAGGCTCCGGTTGGTGCCGTGCCGGCTGCCCCCCCCACGGGTCAGACTGTTTTCCCGCAGAAAACGCGCGGTTTCCGCAGCCGCCGGTGCGTCAGGGATTCCGAGCGCTGCCGGCAAGCATCCCCGGTGCCGTGGCATCGCCGGCACGACGGCGGGTCACGGCTGCTCCCCCATCCCGGTTCCCTCTGCTGGAGGATGCAGCGCGCCCTGCCAGGATGCGGTGCGATCAGACCCGGCTGGATCACCTGGTCCCAACCTCCTGAGACCCTGCTGGGGCAAGGAGCCGGGAGAGTGACAGGAGCAAGAGGAGGTTTCTTAGGACTGCTCTAGCAGAGCAGGAGCTGCCATGGGGGAGGCAATAGGCACCGTTGCCCAAGGACAGGAGGTTTGTAGGAAGAAGCAGCATCTTCCATTCAGCTGAGCCTTGCGTTGCTACCGTAGGCCTGACAAGCTCCCTGCATGTGACTGCCATCATCCAGGCTGTGACTGCAGCTGCCCAGCCTGCCCAAGAGGAAAGGGCAGCAGCAGGGATGTTAACAGGAACACAGTGATTGGTGTTAGGTGCAGTGAATTCATGGGGTTTGGTGCTTGGTGGAGTTACCTCATGTCCTAAGTTTATTTTTGGAAGAATTATTTGTAGGTCACTCTTGAGAGTGGGTCCTGAGAGGACGCAATGAAGAACTGTTTGGGGGAAAACCCTCTCCCCTTGATAAAGATGAACTTCTGTCCTCTGTCAACCAGACTGGCACAGGCAGCCCTGTGGGTGGTGGAAGCCCAGTGTCACCCACCTCATCTGCTGTTTGGTGCAGGGGCTGTGGGACGCTACAGGGGACTGTGTGCTGAGCCAGAGCTCTGTGCCAGTCTGGCACGGAGGGTTTTTCTCTTGGTGTGGCGATTCCTGTGACCTCACTGATAATAAACCAGGTCTCTTCTCAAAAGCTGTCCCTTTAGCCAAAGCCTGGTTGCAGCCAGGCCCAGAGGAACAGAACTAGCAAAACCTGTGTCCTGCTGCATTCCCACAGCTGTGTGTAGAGGACTAGTTTAGCACAGAAACATATACACAAATCCCTCTCTACTTCCTGGACAATATCAAATATTTATTTAAACATACACCTGTTGGAGCTAGCATTGGCCAGCACAACAGATCATGGTTTTCTGTCCCTACAGTGGTTCTAAGGAGCACCCACACCTGCTGCAGAGCAAGAGGTGCTCCCAGACCTGCAGTCCTGTCCCCACCGCTCACTCAGCTGGAAGTACCTAAGGGGAATGAACACCACATCATCTAAGAACCCTGTGGGTATGCTTATTGCCTTCAATCTATAAATTAATTTCTACTGTACATAAAAAAAAGTAATTTTCAAGTTTATAAAATCTGAGACACTGGAGGGATTTGCAGCTACAGTAAGAACTTTACTATTTTCTCTTCTAGTACTTTAGTATTTTTCTTGTACTTTTCTTTTTCTTACTATATGCATGACACCTAAATAAGCGATCCAGTGGTTTTAATAGCAAAGATTAGCAGCTATCAAAAAGGTTTGGAGGTGCAATTCAGATAAGCTATCCAAAATTCACATTAGTACCTGTAAGCTATATCTATATTGCAAGAGGTAATTCATACTGGAATTGAATTTATTATTGGTTTTGCCCTTCTTTGGTTAGTGAATTGATCCTATTGTCTTTTCTGGTCTGTTTGTTATTATGAGAAAAATTTGGGTAAAGAATCTTTGAGCAAGGATTGTTTGTGTGCATCATTAGGTTGCTCACTCTTCATAGTCCATGGTCCTTCATGGGCCCTTGGCTACGTCTGTCATCTCCAGGTGGATAACAGAACTCTTCCTAATAGAAGAACAGAAAGAAAGAGAGAAAAAAATTGTAATACACTTCTGGTGTGACTCTTTAAAAATTCTTTATTCTTTGGCACAGTGGAATACTTCCTAGAATGTTGAGATCAGCAGCTATCTCTGTTTGTAATTACCAGTCTTTAACCAAAGACAGAAAACCCAACATGTTTCTGTATCTCAGCCCACTCTGTGTAAAATGAAGACAACAATACTCCCCTTTCCAATCTGTTGCTGTGCTCTGGTGATGGTGTTTGTGGTCTCCCCTGGTGCAGTGCATTCACATCTCCCAGACTATACCGGACCTCTGGCACTGACACAAAGTGACACCTGCTGCAGCAGAGCAGGTATATTTGGGTACGGAAAGGAGAGGCTCAAGCAGATGGCTTTAGTTTCAGAGGGTTTCTTGCTTTCCAAGACATATGGGGTGGATGGGGGTAGCTTCAGAGAGAACTGCATGCTGGAATTCCCCTGGTCCCTCTCCTCGTGAGGGCTCGTGATGCTTTCAGATGTAGCATGGCTGAAAAGTCCTCCACGGGCTTCACCTGCACATGGCCTATCCTTCTTCCCATAACCCACTCAGCATGCAGTGCTGAGGATGGAAGTCCAAACAGCAGGCTAAGGACTGTGCTGCTGTAAAATTCTGCAAACTTCCTGGCAGTTTTTGAGCAAGTGTGCCTTATATTTTTTCTGCATTTGTGGCAAAAGATTCATTAATTCAGAAAGGTAGTGCTGTGGCCTTGCAAAAAAGATACTCAGCCATACCTGACAATTAATTATACCAAGATCCCATTTCCCCTGGCCTTTTGTTGTGCTTGTCTCCAGCTAGTTCTAAACAGCATCCTTGAGCTCTGGGTAGTTCTGCAAAATAAATGGGCCATCTGCAAAACTGTATACACTGCTTTTTCAGTTAGATGAGAAGTGAAAATATGCAATACAGCAATTTATAGCTTCTGGTTACAGCCTTGGAGAATGCAGTCACAGACCGTCATGGTCTGTGTATGCAAGGCCATCCTCCTTTCTCTTCTGTTTCTCCCTGTCGTGTGATCTTCACCAGCAACGCAAAGCCATGTGTTAGCTGCCGTGGTGGAGGGGCTGCTCCCGTAACCGTCTGAGCAGAGCACATTCTAAACATTGCAGTCTGGAGCCCAAAATACCACAGCAGTAACAGAATCCTTTCTCCAAGTGGTTGCCAGCGCTCTCTCCTGCAGAAGACCCCTGAGGACGCAGGCCTTTTCAGCATGCTGCCTTCAAACAGAGCCTTACATCCGTTGTTCAGACATCATGTGTTCACATTTGTCTTGAATTAGCCTGCACAGCGACTTTTTAGAGACTCAGAGGGAAGAAGAATCTGTCCTTCTACCGATGGGAACCAAAAATGAAGTTTTATATATATATATATATATATATATATATATATATATATATATGCATTGGTAGGCTTCCAGTACTTCACACTACCAAACCATGAAGACAGCTGATGCAGAGTCTAGATTAGGAATAAAAATAAACTCAGGAGATGTTCTGCCCTGCATAGTTTGGATGGCTCCAATTGTAAAAATACATATTTAAAACCCCCAAGGGTTATATTTGAATTCTTATTAAAGACCCTGGGCAAAATTTAAATAACATTAATGTAGACTAACTCAACAATAGTAAAACTGTACTAGTACAGGCTTTACCCTCAAGAAAGCTTTCAAAACCCCAGCTCCTCTGCTTATCTGTTAAGCTGAGCTGGAGATGGGAGGCCAGGTCAGTAATACTTAAATCAGTTTTGCCAAACTGATGGGAAAAGTTGCCAGCTCAGATCCAAAACCTATTGACAGCACACTGCTGGGGATGGAACTGAAGAAAATGAAGGATTTTCTCTGAGAGCTGGATAGTCTTTGGCATCGTTCCCTCTCCCCTGGCTTTCCACGTGTGCTGCCATGGAGCTGTGCTCTCCCTGTGTGTGATCCACCCTGACACTTCCCTTGCCCGAGCTGGGGAAAATATGTCTCATGCAAAGGAGAAACTGGCCCTGGGGGTACATTTGCCTGAAACTTTCTGGTTCAAGTCTTGGTGCATGTTCCTCTGGGTATTTTCTTCAGCTTGCCTCTTGCATTGCTACTTATTTTCAAGAGCTAAAATCCAATATCTTTGCTTTCTGCACAGAAAATTGCTCATTACTTGTATTTTCCCCCTCTGATTGCTACTTAATGAAATTTGTTCCAGCTTTAACATCATTGGAATGAGCTACAAAGAATCATTTGTCTCAACTGCCTGGACCAGGCTCTTTTCTATTGCAGCTCACAGACAGCACAGTTATCCAGGAGACTGCAAGAATGCAGTCAAGAATAATGCAAAAATGGGTAAAAGCCAAGGCTCATCAATCTTCGGTGCTGTGCTATGGCATCTGTATTGTACTCTGAGTCATGTAGCTCAAACAAATTAGCATATGGAGCTGTTTGGTCACTTTCTGGCATCTTGTTCCTTTGGAAAAGTAACTGCAAATGTGAAGGTGCTGTTTGTGTCAAATGAAGAAATAGCATAGGACCAGCCTGTGCAGGCCGTGCTGTTAAACGAGGTTGTGTCTGAGGGTCTGTGGTGTACTTCCATTCCATCCCAGCAGTGTCCCTCCCCTGTGCTTTAAAGAGGGCCTTTCCCATAATATTCATGCCACCTACCATCTGCTGTGTAACTCAAAAAACTCCCAAGGGCCCAGCTCAAGAACCCAAAGCAATTTAGCAGCACATCCCTGATAATGTCAATGCAAATGGTGAATACTGGCTCTAGCTTTATTTGGCTTTTATATTGTGAGATGTTGCTCCTTTAAGTTTTGGAAATGATAACCCAGCTATTCTCCATCGCTTCAAATTAAATATCTGGGGGTTTGTGCTTAAGAGGTGGACCCAGGTTTCCCATGGCTGCAGGTATTAAGGCCTGTAACTGTTAAACTGCAAGTCTTATAAATGTGTTGTTGGGTTTTCTTCACTTTATGTCCCAGCCTGCATCACATCCAGCCTCGTTCCAGTCAAACAGCTCTGTCTTCCAATGAGCTTTCTTCTTGGCTACCCTTTCCCACCAAACCACCCACCACTGATGCTTTGGTCCTTCAGATGTAACATTCAGCTTCCTTGCTGCTTTTATTCCTCCAAGTAATGTTTTGGAATAGTACTAAATATACAGCATGGTTAGATTTCACACACCATTATTA